TTCTATACAATTTATGCTGTATTCGTGATGTTCCATTATGTTATTTTTATCTTTTGTTTGTAAGCTGCTTTGGGATTTATTTGAATAAAAAGTGGAATAGAAATAGAATCAATCAAAAAAATGCTTATGCACAATACCCTTTTAGAAAACAAATAATAAATAGAAATAATCAAAAAGAAGTCTACAAGACATTGGATAAGCAGAGGGCATGACACTTCTCCCTTGAACGGTTAGCCTGACGAATCCCTCACCTTGTGTTTGAAACACTACCATGCCTAAATAAAACATATTGTCCCACGTGCCCTCAGGGTTTTGTGATTCACAGAATCAGAATAACACTTTGGGAAGAATAAAATGCCTTGTGATCACCCCCTCATGTCCTCCCATGCTTTCCACAGAAAAAGAAAAGAGGGGGTTTATGCACATCACCACAAGCTCTTTTCACTGAAAGGGACAGTGAGGAAATGGGCCGAGGGCAGGAGAGAATTATTAGGGATCACTGCAGGACAAAGGAGAGCATGAAACTTTCCTAATGTATCAAAAGACACTCCAGGGGCAGTCCCCATGTAAACAGAGCCTTAGTTAGGCTGGGTAGAATCAAAAGGAGAGAAGGGTCAGCACAACTGAAGGCGGCATTTTTCTGCCGTGCCAGTCATGACGTTAGTCACTTCTCCAGAAAGCCAAATTTAGAAGCAGAATGAGCCGCGCCGGTTGTCAACCCACCATCCTTCAGTCGGAAAGCCTGCTTTGTGGTAACTCTGCTGTTAATATTAGGCATGTTTCTGTTCCAGTGCCTCCCCCTCAACACCCTGCAACTAACAAATAATTAAGCAATTGTATTTAATAACAGGCAGCTGGCCACTCTGCTCAGACTCAAGTGGGTCAGGTGCCAGCCTGGCTGCCCAGCAGTGGGAGGCTCAGCTTACATGGGCAGTGGAAGGAGCCCAAGCAGCTTAACTCTGCTTTCAGCTCCCAACTTTTGCTGGCAAGCAGGCACAATGATTTCATGTGCTCTGGTCTCTGACTCAGCAGCGCTGGGGTTTGCACGCTGGGAGGGAACAGGTGCTCTTGAATGGGCCTGGTGACTCAGGATCGGGATGGGGTCAACTGTCTGTGGCAAGGGCCAGTACGCCGAGGTGGGAAGCCCTGGAATAAACGCTGCCTCTTTAACCTGTGAAGAAGAAGCAGTGCAAAACGCCCACACTCTCTGCCTCATCCACAACCCCCAGCCCACTTGGGAAGGTTCTCACATTTCCTTCACATTAAAGGAGGCTGTTCAAAAACTGTTGTATCAAATATACTAGTGGTGAGTAACCTGCGGCTCTCCAAATGCTGTTGAACTCAAATTGCTGGCACAGGCACGTGATGTCCAGAGTCTGGTGAGGGGTAGACCATAGAGAGGAACACAGGAGATTCGTATTGGGTTGAATTAGGCTACAACTTGATTGATTCCAGATGTGAGTAGGTTTGGCTAATAGGTCGAACCTAATGAGGTTGACCCAGTGCTGGGAGTCGCTCCCAACATTGATCAGGTGCAATGAACCTGTACAGACCACTGTTGTGAGAGGTGTTTTGGCCCACTGACCCCCATGTGGGCAACTGGACAAAAATATCTCCTCCTGGACCCCTCTAATGGGGTACCCACTCAACTGTGAAGGCAACTGGCCCCTGCCAGTTAGCAAAGAGGGTGGCCTACATGCAGTTGCCATGGTAAATACTGCCGGGAGAGCCTGGCCCAGCCCCTCGCCCCTGCTTCTGATTGGCCTGTGGGGCCGGGCCTGCTCAGATGTGGTCTGTGGCTGCCAGAGGAGGGTGGTGTCAAGCGACCATCCCCTCACCCAGCCATGCATGAGGATGGCGGACATCCCCGGGACCAGCCCATGGTCAAGCAGAGCTGCAAACACCACTCTCCCAGATCAGCAACATCTCTAAGTTAAAGACCAGGGACCCCAACCTCATGCAGTTTCTGACTTGTAGTTGTATGACTCTTTCCAAAATAATAAACACAACTATTTCATCAGCCCATTGGGGACAAGATCAGGTCCATGGTATACAACATACAAGCAAATGAAGAAACACATCTCTTTCCCCCTGCTGTGGTCCTGATTAAAATCACCTCCGTGAAAATATTAGACCTGAGAGGAAAGCCCCCATAGCAGTTATTGGGGTGGGTAGCAGTAGCCTGCTGCCAATGGAAGCTTGCCTCCAATAGCAGCTGGTGGGGGGGCGGTCCTTTAGGGCTGCAGCACAAAGAAAAAAGGGTTAACTCTGACCAGGGCCCATAGAAACTACTGGCTATACTTTTTACAAGAGAAAATACAATGACAAGCGACACATTTAACCTTGTGGTTTGACCTGGTGAACAGGGCTAGCCTGATTCACTGTGCTGCCAGCCCTAAGTCACCCTGGGGTTCTTTGGGATGAAGGGAGTGCTATAAATAAATAACCAAAGCTATTTCAATGCTTGCTTCCTGTTTTCCCTTATTAAATTGTGAGCCTGTGAGCAGGGACTGTCTTATTTTTCAATATACCTGGAGTGCTTGGAGAATTGGGGTGGGGAGCGTTTTCCAGCCTGAACGCCTTATTTCCTCAAGGGAAACTTTCAGGGGTGCAAACAAATGGTGGTTGGGACCAGATGCAAAAGGATACATTGTATGTACCCTTACCTTTGTATAGTAGGTTAAATTCAATTCCTGCAAACTTCAGGGGGTATTCCTCCTTCCCCAATGTTTATAGGTCTGTGCAGCGCCGTTTTCCTTCTTCAGGGGGTATTCAAGGGTACGCAGGACCGGACCTCTTTTCGTTGTTGTTAAAAGGTGTGACACTTACTGTAACAACTTCATGGTGACTACCTGCACCTCTTTTTCTAGGGAAAAAAGCACTGGATCTGTGTATGACATTCTCCTTCCAGGAAAGCAGATGTTCAAGAACACATCCCAGCCACGCAAAAGCACTGAGGGGGGAGATGGTCTGAGGGACAGGTTGTGGCAGAGGAGCACATTTAGCTCCCAGGCCTGAGGTTCCACAGCACCATGTAAAAATAATAATAATATGTAATACGTTCCAGGAAAAATCAGTACCCATGAACTTCTACGTGCATTATCACTTCACTGTGTGCTGTGCAGATGTTAGAAAGTTGATAGGGTGTCTTTCTTAAAAAAAGAAAGAAAGAAGTTTATTTTAAAAGGGTTTCAGAGAAGCTGCTTTTCAGCATGACTATAAAAGCAGGAAGAAATGCTTCTCCTCACTAGTTTTGCAACCTCCGCTGGGGCCAAATGAAGCAGGAGATCAACAGCATGTTTATGACAGCGAAGTAGGAAATCCAGAAGAATATCATGTCTACAAGAAACTCAGGCGGGGGGGGGGGGGGGAGATTGTGGAACAGATGCCAACGAATTCTAAAAGCTTCTTACAGGCAATCCCAGGATTGTGGGAAGGTTCTGTTTACAGATGATCTGCAATTGTTTTGCAATTCACTTGGGAACATTGTTCCCCACTGTGAAGACCAGAGATAGATGGGTTCAGGATCTGAAGTAGGGAAAAAGTGAAGAGAGGGTAGTTCTGATGAAATAAGACTTAAGATGCTCACACCTGAAAAATGCTGCACTTTGAATTTAGTGGAAAGCCACTTGAGCGAAGGTACACTCCGAAAACGTATCCCGTCAATTTCTCGTCACGTTCATAGCATACATTTTGCTTTCATCGCCTTTTCTTCACCATCTGGCGATCGGGTGTTTTTAAAAATCTGTATTTACTTTATGACCTACAGCTAGAGCACTGTTTACATATTAAAAGCTGGATGGGGTTTTCTCGATTCTTTCCATATGTTCATTTACCCTCTCATAAAAATGTTTTGGATCTAGCCAGTTCACATGCATATAAGCTGCTTTGTCAAATCCCCAAGCACAGACCACAACACAGCTCAGAGCATCCAGCTGGGATTTTATCATGAGAACTGTTTCGGAGGCCACCATGCCTCATTGTTACTGCCATAAAAATACACAGCCATGCAGTTGTGTTTCCTCGCTTTCTGCCCAACAGGATGGTTTAATCATTCATTTCCATCTTTCCAGTACTAGCTCAGTGACGGTAAATCTACCCCTCATAGTCTCTTCCCCAACATTTAGTGCCTTCCTCAAGCTAAGGGTTTGAAATCCCTGTTGCTGAATTGTTATTCATGTTTGCTTCCAGCTGCAGTAGCCTGAGTGATGCCAAAGAGCCTGTTCGATTGTACAAAGGGCTAACATCTGCATCATGAATGATTTGTACTGTATTTCGTAACTTAAACCAGAAACTTGATTGTAAATGCAGAAGGAGCCAATCTTTTTAGTTCCATGGGCACATTACGATTTTTGAGAGAATGACATGGGCGTCACTGCCTCAGGTAACTTCACTTCCTCCTTCCTGGATCAGCCCAAGAGGCTGAAGGAAAACACACTTTGCCTTTCCAAGGGATATAGGTAAAAGTTGGATCCAGAAGAATTCATCTGAGTATTGAAAAGCTCTTTCCCACTTCCTCTTTCAGCTTTTTGAATTTTTCAAGTCAGAAAAAAGTAATCACACTTATCAGCTCATGGAGCAAGCGAGGGACAATGAATTGGGTTGGGGGATGGGTTCAGCGGCTTTGTGGGAAATCAAGGGAAGACCTCAAGGGAACAGCTGTGCCCACAGGCACCATGTTGGAAACCTCTGACAAAAAGCATGGACTTTTTCTGATTATTTTTTTTAAATTACTGTAAACAAGCACATGTGAAAGATTAAAAAGCAGTAAGAGGAGCTTACATGAGAATTAGGAAAGCACACCGAAGAACTTTTCAAATTTGCTTTAGATATGACATGACCAAAAACAAATTAGACTTAAGCTGGCTGATAGCTTATGTTGCCAAATTTATCTGGTGGGAGGTGGAATGGGGCTGAACAGGAGAGAATTCTGATCTTTCACAAGCACCCAGAGACTCTAAGATTCATGCTGATACAGACAATGAATAACAAATCAAAGAGGAAGAGCCGTAGCTCAGTGACAGAGCATGTGCTTTGCATGCAGGAGGTCCTGGGTTCAATCCCCGGCATTTCCAGGTAGGACTTGGAAAAGCTTCCGTCTAAAACCCTGGAGATCTGCTGCCCGGCAATGTAGGCAAGGAGTGGCCAACCAGAGGCTAACGGATGCTGTTAGACTAGTTTCCATAACGCTTGACCATTGGCCATTTGGGGCTGTTGCTCATGGATATTGGAGTCCACAAGTTATCCATCCCTTGTGTAAAGAATAGTGAGCTAGATGGACCATTGGTATGCTTTGGTAGAAGGCACCTTCACCTTCCTATGTTGCTAACACAGTAATCTCCTCCACCGAGGGCAATCATGCCTCACCGGTACCATTTTTGTAAGTCCTGTAGAGGAAAGAAATGGTAAGTTATGCCTTTGGTAGATGTTTATGGGAGAAATAAAGTCAACTGATGAAGAAGGAGAGGCTACATACTATCTATTTAAAGAGTAGCATATATTCTCCCCACCCCACCCAGCAAATCATTGCTTTCTTCAATGTGGTCCTAAACCTAGGATGGAACAACAAGCACAGGAGAAGATCCACCATCCATTTTTAAGAATAGTACTGTATTTCTGGCAATGAAATGCCACTGTGGTCTCCAGCCCTTTTCAAATCCAGGTAGGATGGTGAGGTTGCAGAGGACAAATCAGTGAAGCAAAAGATGGATTCAACAGACACTAGATGGTGGTTGTCTGAAATCAGACTCAAGGATGTGGTCAGCCGTGAAAAAGAGATATGCAACAGCATCCTTTGGCATGACCTCTTGTCAGAAGGTCAATTGATAATATAACTCTGGAAAGTAATTAAGGAAGGTAAGAAGGTATAGAATCATAGAATTATAGAGCTGGAAGGGACCCCAAGGGTCATCTAGTCCAACCCCTGCAATGCAGGAATCTCAGCTAAAGTATCCATGACAAATGGCCATCCAACCTCTGCTTAAAAACCTTCAAGGAAGGAAAGGTAAGAATGATAGTTTATTTTATATATTTTGATGCCACTTTCCTACTAGGGTGCCTAAGGTGATTAACAAAAACAAACAAATGAACAACTACTACTACTACTACTTTTAAGGCCTACCAGGCTTTTTGTTCTTACTTGTCAAATATTTGCATAATTCGAGGATGAAAAATCCTTTAATCTATATTCTCTCTAGTGACAGAAGGACGTTTTCTGGAGATTTTCCTTACAGATATATGAAATGGATGCTGAGTTTATTTATCTCCATTTCATCAATCCAATTCTAGTGAGCTTACCATGACTGTTTATCACATGCATTCCACACTGCTAATATAGGCAGCCATAAAACGTGCCTATATTAAGCCTATCCATAAAGACAACACAAAGCTTTCTGCAGGTGCTGCTGTGGGAACTGGAATGCATTTTGAACATTCCAAAGATTATAGAGCTGAACTCAGCCATTTGAGAAAATAAAATTTATGCACCTCCTCATGGACAATTGTTTTTCCAAGATGTGACCTTCCCCCAATCTATCATCCATGAGACAATAAATCATGGCTCACGTTGGAGAGGATGTATTAGCAGAAAATTCACCTCTTCTGTTTTTGTAAGCTTTGCCTGCATGGGTATCTGTTTACATTTTACTGTGCTTTTCAGTATTCCAATAGCTTTAAGTTCCACACTGTGTAAATAAAACTGAATAATCAGATTTCACAATCTTCTGAGATCGAAAAGAGCTAGCACCAATAGCTAAAACCCAAACCCTTGTAGCCTAGGCTTTATTTCTGAAAGAGTCTTGAAATATTTTTGACACAGTAGCCCTAATGAGGCGTTCTTAAATTCTACTGGTGGAGAGGCCATGCCTCACTCTTCCAACATCTTGTAGAAAGATCTGATGGGATGCTCAGAGTGTTTCCCATGATCATGTAGGGTTCCCAGCCATGAGGGGGACTGAAGCACACTTGGCTAAATATGCTTACAATCCTTCAGACCTTCTCACTCAACATGAAAAGGCTGTGAGGCCGGCCTGCTGAATAGGGCAAGTATCAGATCTGCTTGATTGTCATTTACAACATTTGAGATTGCTTGCTTATCAAAGATCCAACCACTCATAACTGCTGATGAGGAGCACTTGCTGACCGGCTCTACAGTCAGACCCCGGGCCATCGTGGACACAAACAGCCAGCTATGGGAGATACCACTGACCCAGAAGGGGTGGTAATCTGTGGGCCCTGGAATTGTAGCAGGGGCAGCGTGGGTGAAAGAAATGCCCTTGCACAGACCTCCAGGGTTGAGCTCTGACTAGTTCTCATACAGCACAGGACTAGAGATGCTCTGGGGATTAGGAAACCTTACACCTCCAGAGAAGAGAGCCTAAGAATAGTATTCCCCTCAGGTTCCTCCAGAGCAAAAAAAGAAAAAGCAGAAGAAGACTGTTGCCCCAACTCCTACAGCTGACAGGACAGTGTCTCAGAAGGACTTGAACAGAACCTCTGCCTAGACAGGTGTTTACTAGGACTTCCTCCCAGGTAAGTGTGTACAGAATTGGCTTTGAATTTGTATAGAACTCGGCTAAAATCTGGAACTGTTCAATGATTATTCAAGCATACTGTGCCAGGGCAACAGGTGCCAAAACTGCACAAATATTTCTTACTTAAGCTCTTATCTCTACAGGTGTTTCACCTCTCTCCACAGCTCTCATCTACTCTTTTTTTTTATTTATTAGCTGTCCTTTTGCAAAAACTAGTTAGCTGATCCAACACTGCACATTTCAAACCACACATTTCTTCCCATTAGCAGCAATTTCAGACTGTGAAAATGGCTTAATGGAACGAATCCGAAACACAACTAATCCCTAGTTCAAAGGTATTTTCTGAGAAAATAAACTGAAGCCACACAGAGAGTAGAGATCATTTATCCAAGAAAAAACAAGTTCTCATTGTCTTCCCTGTACCATTTTCGAGGTATTTTCTTTTTACTTGAGGCTATTTGAGTAAATTTGTCTTAAAGTTTAGTTCTGTTAACGACAGGTATCTTGAAGCAGATTAGAGCTGAACTGAAATTTCTCAGAAGACATTTTCCTTTTCCTCACCTCTTAGAAAATGGCCACTTTCAGAATTATATCCAAACAATCTCTACCGTATTTCTTGTATTGGCCCCACTCCAATGCCCAGGAATGACATTAGGGGTCTTGTAGAGCAGCGCCTAGATTTAGGGTGGTGTGGGCAGTTCCCCTGCAAAGGGCTCTGAGTCAAAGAGGCATGAAATAAAAAATACAAAAGTAATTATTGTGAAAATAAGAAATATTCCGGTGGAGGCCTACCAAATTTCGTCCTCACTCAGGGCCCCATATTACCAAAGTCCACCCCTGCATGGAGAATGCTGCTACTAGCTGGGGCAATAACAAAAAACATGGTACAGCCATTGCAAATGGTGAGTCCAGACTTGAGAATCTTGAGAGACCATCTGTGAACCCTTCTAATGCAACTACAGTGTGTATATGTTTTTGCCTGTATGTCAAAATAATACAACAACTTGTGGAGATATGTGAACTCCAAAACTGCCTGGCATTTCATTTTACCCGAGGAGAAACCTATTTTTAAAGGAAAACTGCCATGCTTTACAAAATCATGTCACTCTCGAACTGTTATCTAGAGGCATGTTGTATATTTCTTTCATTTACTTGTTGGGCTCTGGTTAAGCATTCTCTGGTTCAAACAGGAGGGCTCAGTGTTTCAAAGCCTTGGATCCATTGCAGGGGCACCAACAATAGGGGCTCTGGGTGCCTGAGCACCCACAAAAAACTACAGGGCCCCCAACACAACTTCTGGTGCCTTGGGAAGTACTGGAAGCCATGTCTGAGGACTCACAAGACTTCGAAGATGCTGTCTGAGGCCTTCCGAGACCTCAGAACCCAACTTCCAGCGACTTCTCAGAAAGCATCTCTGAGGCCTCGCGAGACCTTGGAGATGCTTTTCAAGGTCTCTTGATGATTTGATGGTAATGCATAGCAGCATTTAAAGTTGGCTTCTAATACAACATTTCCCAGTGAAAGCATATCTTAAAACACAGCCTGCAGAAATATTTCTAAAGAGTTTTGAAAAAGATGACTACAGCTTTAAGCATGAGTAGATACATTTGTCTGGAACAGGAATCTTCTACTGTATCATATTTCAGCACCGCACAACAAATAAATGGACCTGAACATTAACCTTTTATTTTTTATCAGAATTTTCAAAAGGACAAAGCTGCAATCCAAGACTCACAGTCATGGGGGGGGGCGACGTGAAGATGAAATGTTTGGAGCAGGCACATGAAGCGCACATGTGAACCATGGACCACATGTTTAACCACCACGAAGAGCCACAATGCGTAATGAAAGAGAAGGAATTACTCTTGGCAATGGGACCTAGGAGGCAAACCCTTTCATAAAGCGTGGGAACTTTTGTGCACACTCAGCTTTTGGGAGGAATAAAATAACTTCCTGTCTTGGCTTTAATACAATGTTTACCTCTTTCTTTCATGCTTACTTCTTACTACGCTGTGCTGGCAAAATGTGTACTGTCCAATACTTGCAATGCACCTCCAGCTGCAATGGCTGCTTTTGGCATACGCTACTAAACAATGGGACAAAGTGCCCAGCCTGTGGCTGTACCACTGTAGCTAGATATGAATGAAATGAAAGAATCCCAAACGGAGGGCTTGTTTTTTTCTTGTAAAAAGCTTATTTAAAAAGAGTTCCTAATGCTCGTTCCAATGAGCCAAGGATCCAACAGGGCAAGGGAAGGACTGTGAGCACCATGGAAGCGCTAAGAGAGAAAGGAATGTTTTACCTGTATAGAAGTAGTCCTCTGAAACTAGCATTCAGATTTCTCCAAAGGCCCTAAAAATGCCTTTATGTGACTCTCAAACATGTTTTTGCCTTTTGTGCAGGGTAGAATTCAGATGCAGAATGTGTCAAAGAGCCCGTTTCTGAAAGGGTCTGAAGCCACAACCACCTTATTCACTAAGGACTAGTGTTACTACAGGCTGTGCCTGCCTGCTAACAATATGGTAGAAGACAGAATGAGCACC